TATTTGGGATGTTTTGCAAATGTTTGATTAGATAATACAGCTAAGTTAATATGGATGTCCCATAATAATAGGCAATGTCTCGAGGAATATGAGGTATGCGAAAAACTCTTATAAGAAAGAAGACATTTCGATAATTAAGCATTGTAAAATCTGTTTAAAATCAGCACACAAATTCAGATTGTTTACCATATTTTGTATACCATATGATATATGGTATACATATGGTATATGGTATACAAAATATGGTAAAAGTTTTATATTATCTGACAAATATGTTTTATAATTTGTACGAAGCTAAATCGAACACCGCCATAAATCACAAAAAAAAAAAAAAAAAAAAAAAAAAAAAAAAAAATCCTCCATAATTTAAAAAAAAAAAAAAAAAAAAAAAAAAAAAAAAAAACTTCGAATTATAGGCCTTGACTGTATTTTTATAAGACAAATAAAACCTCTTTAAGATCTTTGGAACACACAATTCATTCAATTTATGTCAATCCAGACATCTTTAAAAATAATTTAATGTTAAGATGGTAATTAAATGTTTACTTCAAATTAAAAAGGATTTTTCTCATAGGAAAGGAAATATAATATTCCTGAACTTAAATTAATTTATGAATCTCTTTGCTCAGTTTACAAAATTCCATTAATAGAGGTTTTCATATTGTGCATCTAAGCCACCATATTAACTTATAGTAACACCTAAGGTATCTTTCAGGGCAACACTCACCGTTGTTGCAGCTGTAATAATTGTTATTGTGTGTAGCTTTTGAAAGTGATTGTAAAACCCACCAAAAATAATACAAAAATGCTGCTTTGGGCTGGCTTATGACAGCTGATTTGTAGCAGATGACAGGCAAGTTCGCACCAATCGCTCGGTTCTACCATAAAAGGCAGGCGTAGATCGTAGATCATAGATCGAAGATCGAATAGATTGAGTGTCGAGGAGAGCGTTGATCGAGAGCCAAGTGTAAATGAAATCCATATTGAAGCTGACGTTCGCACATCATTAAAACGAAACCATATTGATTTCATTCGATTTTCGGGGTTGGGCTTTGTTTTACATCCATTCGAACGAAGTGCCCGACTCGACACGACACGACTCGACTCGCTGCGAGTCGAGATCAAATCAATTTACTCTTGACCTTGCCCTGGCTGTGTGGCCGGCGGGGGTAGAGGTGAGCCAATCGCATTGATATGCTCTATTGTTTTACGCTTCAAGCGATTTAATAGGCCAAGCCAAATGGCCATACATGCGTGCCCAGCTCAGCTCCGATCAGTGTTTGCTGCCAATTAGTTTTAATGGCCAGCGTAGCAAATAGTTCTCAGTAATCTGCAATTTTTTTCGGTAGGCATTTCACACACTTCCTACGACAAACTGTCAGTCAGTCAGTCAGTCAATCAGTCAATCAATCAGGCATTGCTTGGGCCCAAGCTTTAAGGCTTTTGGCTGGCCAGCGAGCACGCAACAATTGAAGCCCGCAAGAATTCATAATTATGGCCAAAAGCAGTAATTGGCATAAAAGCTTAGCTGCCATAGACGCATTGCAAATGCTCTAACTGAAGCCCCAAACATCATTCCGATTGTACTTAACATCAAAGACCACGCTCTAGCAGACAGCTCTGCTCCTAAAAATTGTTAACCTTGCTGGCAAATAATAATCATTAACTAAGTTAGGAAGAGTTTTGGAAGCTTTTATAGTTTTTAGTTGCCAATAATTTGGCCATAATTTGAAGCAACTGCGTTTAGCGCACATTAAAACAATTAGTGAGCAATTGAAGTAGTTGTAAAATATAAATCAAAAATAAAAAATAAAGAAATCAACAAAGTAAAAAGATGATTGCGCGCAATTTCAGCGAGTATGTGTGTGTGTGTGTGTGTGTGTGTGTGTGTGTGTGTGTGTGTGTGTGTGTGTGTGTGTGTGTGTGTGTGTGTGTGTGTGTGTGTGTAAGCCACTTCATTTGGCCAGTTTATCAATTACGGACGGACAATTTACTGGCGCTTTGAGCCGCCTCGTTAGCCGCCGCATTGCATTAATCATACACTGTCAAAGGGCATGTTAAATATGCTACGAATAATGTAACATCTCATAGATGTATTTTGTATCGACTTGAATTAATTTAACGGTGTTATATTAGGTGCTACTGATCTTACTATCTACTATATATATCTAGTATCTAGTACCAAGTACCAAGTACCTTGTACCTATTATCTATTATCTAGTAACTAGTAACTAGTATCTAGTATCTAGTATCTAGTATCTAGTATCTCGTATCTAATACCTAGTACCTTGTACCTAGTATCTAATACCTAGTACCTAGTACCTTGTACCTAGTATCTAATACCTAGTACCAAGTACCTTGTACCTATTATCTAGTATCTAGTATCTCGTATCTAGTATCTAGTTTCTCGTATCTAGTATCTAGTATCTAATACCTAGTACCTAGTACCTTGTACCTAGTATCTAATACCTAGTACCAAGTACCTTGTACTTATTATCTAGTATCTAGTATCTAGTATCTAGTATCTAGCATCTAGTATCTAGTATCTAGTATCTAGTATCTCTAGCATTTCTCCCCATTTCGAAGCATTTTTCGTAGTGTATCTAAAATTCTTCATGCCACATATTAATCGTTCTTTACGGCTACTTATTTCTGGTACTGCGCGTGCCTGTGAGTTGTAATGAGAAATCAGCTTTTGCCATTTGCAATTTTTATATGTTTATATAATAGTTAATTCGTGTTTTTTTTTACTGCTTTGGATTTTGAATGCTTTTCATGTGGGCGACTCGCTAACGCAAAATTTGTGTTTAATGCACAGATCGACCCCAGGCCCAGACCCGAACCCTGCCTAATGTGATTATGAATTATGCGTAATGTGCGAGGCCTTGAAAGCGCCTCTGTTCCTGTCCCACAAAACTCTCGCTTTTGTAGCAAATATAAATGAACCAGGCTAATTTGGCATGCTGGTCAGCGTGGCAAGACGGCTGGCTAAAATAAATCAGGCTAAGACACATAATAAATACAGTCCCGACTGAAAGTGGATGAAAGAGAAGTGCGCTGAGATTGAAAATATCTTTAACTAGTGCTAGACCATAAACGGGTAGCTCAAAAAAGGTATATCTGAAACAATTGAGCACTGAATTGTGTAGATATATATTTTATTTATTTATCTAATAATGCAATTCAATAATTTGTATAACGTTGTAAACGTTTTTTTTATATATTGTATTAAATTGATTATAAGTTTATCTAGATTATACACATTTAAAAAATAATCAGTTTGATACAAAAGTATAATTTTTAAATGTGAATAATCTTCATAAATTTAGATTGATTTAAATACAAATCTAAAAAAAAAATCTTTTTAGATTTAAAATAATCTTAATCACAAGTTCTCTTGGCAAATGAACATTGAAATCAAATATTTAAGATCAAATATGAAATCTCTAACTTATAGTAAAAAGTTTATACTAAATTTTTTATAAGGCCCTCCATTATAGAAACATAATAACAAATTTTAACTTTAGTCATACTGAAACAGAACAATGACTTCAACAACAAGGCTTCATGTTTTTTTCACAAATCTAAGTCACTGAAAAATACGGCCAATCTTACAGCCAAGTCAAGTTAATTGACCATACATTTGAAACTTTATGAACTAGATAGACTCAAAAATGAGAATTTTCTTTTAAGTTTTATAGAAAGTATTTGTTAGTCGCGCATTCCCTACATCTACCTTTTCTTTTACTGGTTTCCTTTGGTTCTTCTGCAGGGCAAAGACTTCTGCCCAGGTTCTGAGGCGGCAGCGGCAACAGCCATAATAACAAACTTGGCTACAAGGTCAGACTGCCAGCAAGATGCAACAGCCAAAACCAAAATGAGATAACTATATATATAGATATATATAGTAATAAAATGAAAGGAGACCTTCTAGGCAATGAAGTGTCGTTTGGTTAAGGTTTTTCTGTTTTTTTCTTAGTTAATTCAGTTCTGGCCCAAAGCCAAAATGAAAAACTTCTTAATTACATGATGCCGAATTGGCTTTATATACATTTATTTTCACATACATTTTTTGTATCGGCCGTCGTTAGTCTAGGCGAAGGTTGACTCTAGGGTCTCTGATCAGCCCAGCTATGTGTGTGTGTGACTCATCAGGCTTTGATTTAATTTGATTTGCAATTGCGTAAGGCCAAATCTAGTTAGCACAATTAAAAGTGAGCACAGCTGAGAGCTGAGACAAGATTTTTTGTTGTTGCTGCTGCTGGCTGTTGCTTTTATTATATTTTGGAGGCACGACAAACGAGTTGTTGGCCAGGCTCAAAACTGAAAAAACGACTCAGCTTTTGACTCAAGCTCTGAGCGCAGCAGCACTGGATGTTCACGTTGCGAAAAATTCAACAAGACAATTGAAAACAGAAAATCAGTTGTAGCTGAAAACGCCAGGCGATCAGACGTTTACGCGCGACTTGAACTGCAATTGGCTAAACTGCTTCAAGACAATACAAAATTGAGGCAGTCTATGGTGCAGCTGAAGACAACAGCTAATAACAATAACAACAAATATCAAATTTGTGATGTGTGCTCAACTCTGCGTGTGTGTGTATATATATGTATATATTTAGTGCAATACTAGTGTGCTATTGTTTGCTGCTACTATTGCGGCAATTGCAACTGCAAACAAGAGTCGCCCGCCCGCTACTTGGGTGCCACATATTGGGCAACTGCAACTGCAACTGCAACTGCAACAGTCAACAGTCAACAGTCAACAAGTAGTCGCCGTTGTTGGGCCAAGCCAGGCAAAGCTGACACAAAACGTTTTCCTTTCTTTTTGTGGTGTGGCATTAAATTCATTTATTGAAAACAGTTTAAAGGCGAATTGCGCGCGTTTTTTGTCGTGCTCGCGTTTACTTAGCGGTTTATTTGTTATTACCTTGCCGTCTTGATTGGAAAGTCGCATTTGTTTACGCTTTGTAAAAGGTCAAAAGCAATAAAATAAAACAACAGCAGCAGACACGAGCATAATAAGCAAGCAACAGGCGGCTGCTTAGCAACATTATTTCTGGCTGGCAACATTTGTAATCAGCGTTAGCAACATGTTGCCAAGGCTCACATTCGCTGTGCTCATCGTCTTTTGTGGATATTTACTGTTTACGGGTAAGTCGCATAACTAAAGCCGTAAATCATAAATGTTTATGCAACAACAACAGCAAAAACACTTGCAACCAGAACATGAATTATAGCCTGCGGCATTTTTTTAGCTCTTGCTGCTGCTGCTGTTGTTGTTGTTGCAACCAAATCGAATTACAGCCAAACGCAAGCTAAACGCAATAAATCCAAGCAGATTACATGACACACACAGCACTCGGCATGAGAGAGGGCGTGCGGGCGATTACAACCGCCTTTATGTGTCAGGCGTTAACAAAAAAAAAAAAAATAATAATAATAATAAAAATAAATACACAAGAGTGAAACTGGGAATAGCGCATAGAAGAATATGAAATACCCTTAAAGTTAGTTGGCATTTGTAAGGTGCATTAACTGATATATTATATACATGTATGTAAAGTTTAATATCTAAAAACAAAGAGTACTACAGTTGAGTCTCGATAATTTGTACCCTGATTAATTTAAGATCTCGATAAATCGAAAAAATTGGTTCTTGTGAATTCTTGATAATTCGATGTTCTGTGTAAATCGAAAAAACTTATTCCCTTGCCATTTCGAATCATCAGGACTCGACTGTAGTTGATATTAATATATACCAATTAATATTACCAATCTTGACATATTTTTTTTGAGCTCAGAGCTATATTTCAACTGTGAAGCTATGTGAACTTTGAAGATGTGAAGCTTCCTTTTCGCGTAGTCAAAGGCTTAAAGTGTTTGTTGCTCCCCGTAATGCTAGAGATAGAACTGATCAGTAGCAACTAAAAAACCTCCATAGCCTTGATTTATCACTTCTATCTTATACTAGGGCCTGGACTCTAATAAACATAAAATATATATTTAAGATCTCAAAGATGTGTTCATAGTTTGCTTGCCTCCAACAGGCACTCACAACTAATATAACCGCTGTTAGGGTATAGAGTGCAAAAACGAAAAGCCTCGTGCGAAACGCGCGTATTTGACATTTATGGCCAAGTAGTCAATGCGTCGTCATATTGTTGGCCTGCTGCGATTTATTTGCTTGGTTGCCACCAAGCGGCCAACACGAGACTTGCAACATAGGCGAGCCAGCTAGGCTAGCTGTTGCCTTTTACGACTGCCACGCAAATAATCTCCAGCAATTTTCTATTATGCAACTGTTTAGCAGATGCGCTAGATGTTTCATAATCTAAATGAAAATCCCAATTCAAATCATTATCCAAATCTATATCGAAATCAATTGCCTTTCATAATTTGTCGGGAAAAAGTTCTTTTTGGCCATTTGACATTTACAACATTTGCTGCAGCAACAATATTTTTGTCTCACGAAATTTGAAGGTTGTTGGCGCCGTTCGCACCCAGCGACAACACGACATTCTTCCATGTGGCAAGTCGCAGAGGCGGCATCAGGGATACCAGCTCGAGGGGGGCGGGGCAGCATCTTAAATAAGCATTCATATTCGTTTGCCATTTCGATTAGGTGTGAGAGAGAAGTTCGCGTTTGCGTCTAATTAACAATCGCATTCCCAATGCTCTTTATATTATTGCTAAGTTTATTATTGCCCACATGCAGCAAATTCAACAGCAACAACAACAACAATAGCGACAAGTGTAATAAGAGACAAAATGTCAAACCGTTGACAATTGTTTTTCATTATACCCTGGAATAAAATATAAGCTAAGAGTGGATTGGATTGTTTAAATAATATAAAATATTTTTTTTTTATTTATTTAGAAGAGAGAATGGAGAACAGATCTATTAACATTATTTATAAAAAGAGAACTTAAATTTTATTAATGTTGATAAACTTTAAAAAATTTGTCTATGAAGAAGTGATTAAAATATTTTAATAGTAGTAAAGAAAAAACCTATATTTTTTAATGTGGATCTTATCTTTAAATAATTTGACTAACATGCCTAACATAGCAATAATTAAGAATAAACTTTTTTGCTGCTCTTCGTGCTTTCAAATGTGTTTTAGTCTTGGTCTAAAGATTTTAAAAACAAATTGGATTTTGATGCCTAGAGCTTTAACCTTGCACAGCTTAGGCTGTGAATAATCAAAAGGAAGTGATTAATTGAGTGAATACAAAAATCTTTACCAAAATCATTATCAATGAATCTATGATAAACCAGAGATTCTTGAAATATTTTTAGATAAAATACTAATTATGATTAATATATTATTATAATTATATAATTATGCTATTTCCCATACAAATATTGAAGACTCAATTATTTAATACATTRATAAATGACTGCAAAATAAATTGAATAAATGACAACTCTGCTAGTCATGCACTCAGTGTTAAACAAGTGCATATAAATATACTATATATCTAGATTTGCAAGTCAGATCCATATATCTATTACAATTGTGATGGTTTATGTTACTTTCAAGTGGGGGCAACTGCATGTAAAATGTTTGTTAATGCTGCGAGGGCTGAATCAAATGACAACAATCTTAGCGGTTATGAAGTCTAGACGTAAATTTCTTATAACATTGCAATATAAAAATTTAATGCAAATTAAAAATAATAAATAAGTAAGGAAAAAAGTTGTAATGCAATTTTCAGTAATAAAAATTAAAAAAATTTATGCAATCTTGAGTAATAAAATGTTAAGCTAAAATGCAGCTTTTGAGTGTGTTGTAGGCCGGAAAATGTTATGCCAATGTACATTTTTTATGCTATAAAATGTGCTAAATAAATTTTTGAACTGTTATGTGAAGAAATAATATTAAAAGTCAAATCAAAACAAATATATAGTTAATAACGTTTAAAATCTGTTATTTGCAAGTTAAGCCTTATATTTTAAGATTCTCTCTTTATGAATCACTGGTATTAATCATTTCACGCATTAAATGACATTTTTGAATTGCCAATAAATGTGGGTCTCGCAAGATTAAAAGATATTTGTGCAGAGAGGAAAATGGCAATCTATTTTTGTTTTAATCGCCATTTATAGATAATTAATTGCTTAAAATTAATTATGTATGCAAGCAGTCACGACACTCAATTGACTTGATAAACTTGTTGTCTCATCTTAGCAACAAAAAGAAGAAAAATGGCATGTTCTGCTCACCTGATGTACAGCTAACATTCCCCATTCACAAATTGCGGCAGCGGCAACGGCGCGTATACTTAATGCAACAGCTTATGCAGTAACTAAGCGTCTTTTGTTAGATCTTCGAGCGCACATCCGCCAACAAGTACAGAGACTCAACTCGACGCGACTCGACAACAACAACAAATTGCAACATGATGTCAAAACATTTGCCATCTACTTATAACTATGCAAATGCTGTGCCACTTGCTTTGTGGAGGAAAAGCACAATTTATGGCTCTCTGGCAAAAGTCTTTCAATATGCATTTAGCCTATCTGGTTAATGCGAAACGGAAACTTTTATGAAAACAAAATGTGCGATAAAGCTCCCCCCGACTCTGATATATGACTGCAGCAATATCAAATGCATATACTATATAAATATATGTATGCATATATATACACATAAAGTTATAGTTGAGCCTATAAATTGAGGCTAGATGCTCGTTTATTTGTCTTGCAGTTGACATGCTGATAAAACTTTGGCTCCAGTTGTCACTTGTTTGCAACTCGTGTAGCTTTTGCCCACTATCGCCAGGTGGCGCTGTATTGCGATTCCAATTGCATTTGCATGTTCGCTAAAATTAATTGATTTATAGGCGGATAACAACAAAAATAGTTTGTCTACGCACACGTGCAATGGAATTTACCTGTGCGCACATGCTCTGTTATTGAATTGGCATATTAGCTTCCATTGTCAGCTAGAGAGGCTGGTGAAATTCCCCAGCTATGAAAAGATTACATAGTATTTACATTTGGCCAAATTTTTTGGCTTTAGGGAATTACGATTCTACAAACTTATATAAGATAAGATTTATATTATATTACTTATCATTTACAAACGATTTATATAACTGTTGTAGACTTACTATAAGTAAAATATATATATAATATTCAAGTATTTGGAATTTTGATTTAATAATATAGAATGAAAATCCTTGATAAAATGAAAAGCATACAGCATACAGATCTGAAGCTAGTACACTAGCTAGTGTATTTATATAAAATGGATTATATTATCACATTTTAGGAATAATTATGTATATACCATTGTCTGAAAGGTTGCAGAAATAGGATTAAATCGAAATGCATTCTAGCTTCTAGCTTGTTGTAAGAAACAGAATGACAGGCAGAAGTAGTTGTACAGAACCCCATGAGGTGATATTGTTGTGCTGAGTTAGATGATAAGAGGACTGTGTAAAGTTTAAGGCTCTGAGCGTGAAAAATGAAAACTTTCTTGAAAATCAACACCACCTAAACCGACATTACCATGTAGCCTTTAGAGTCTGAGAGTCTTATCCTAATGGGAGTCTCAGATTTCTTAACGTATCGCGTATACGCAACGTAACGCTGTATCCTAAGTCTCAGATCTCTTAACGTTGCAGTAGTTAGCAAACAAAACTTTTGTTTTATTTACAATGCAAACAATTATATTTTTTAAAAATCTACCTTAGCAATGCACACATTTTGCAACACAAGCAGAGTATTACACAGCTGTGCTTGACCGACTTAATCTCCCATTATTCTTTTTTGGGCGCGTAAGTCAAGCATTTGGCACACATGAGAAAACAATTTATGCGCGGCTGTTGGCCAGGCCAACAGCAACAACAAAGATATAAACGCCCAGCTGACATGCAAATGGCACAAAAGGCGATAAGCCCGAAAAATAAATGAAATAAAATTATAATGCCGCAATTTGATTGAGAAAGAAACAAAACTGAATCTGAGGACGGCCAACAACAAGTTGGCAACAATATTCGCAAAGAAAAACGCCTTCAGGTATTTCCTTACAATTCGTGCAGAGGATCGGGCCATTAATTTGCGATTAATATTAATGCCATGGCATAATTTTCAATTAAAATGAAATTTGCTTTGTGCGCGACAAATTGCAAAAAGTAAAAAT